CCTCACAAATGGCTCTGTCCTCCAAAGACAAGGCCCTCTATACTACATGTTTGACTCATTGACTAGGCGAGAAGAAAACCAGAGAAACCATATCAGTTATAAACAAGACCTTATAATTAAAATAAGAGAATATATACTACTTTCGGTCCTAATTATAAAACCTAATTAACTAATTTAGAGAGATTAAGAAACTTAGTTAAATTAGTTATTGTAATGAATATGTGTTGTTTTTCCTAAAATATCTTTACTAATCAAGTTTGTTATTTAGAACTATCATTATTAAAGAATTATCTTGAAAAAAATGGATAAATATAAAAATAAAGTGGATTGAGATCTTATATTTAAAACAAAAATAAAATTCAAACGAGGTCTTATATTAATGACAGTAAGTAGTATATTACTATATTAGTACGGAATAATATGTGTGAAATAAGCGCTGAGACTGAGAGTCGGTGAGTGTTATTTATGACATTGAATACGAGCAAGTGTTGTTGACCCAGCAGCCATGGCCAGCTGCCTTGTTCCCAGAGCTTGTACGTTGTGTGAAGATTTATAAAAGCCCTGTCGCCATATTTATAGGTATAGCCAGGTGGGTCATCTACATATACATACTTGTCATTCTAAACTTCCACCAAGACTCTTTTTATATTGGCTAGCTTGCCCTATTCCCCGTGTCTGAGGTATGAATGCTCTATCTCCTTTAGGCCTGGAGAAAAAGAAAGCACTAATGACCTTTTCAGGAAGGAAATTAAAAGTCATATTTTAGGACCACCTGCTAAATACGCAGACCACAGAGATCAGTGCCCCGTCTCTAAAGCCATGCTTGTTTTCCCATCAATTCAAATAATTAACTGCATAGAGTATGTGTTAATATTAGATTTTTGTTTCTTCCAAGAGAAATATCTGTTATAAGTTTTTGGGTCTTCAATGCCCGCCAATAATGTTTAGTTTAACCTACTAAGCTTGAATATAAGAAAGTGTTTGGATAAAAACCAAACAATAGTTTTAGAAGTGCTTTTACGGTTTACAAAGTAAATATATGGAGGAATTTATCTCCTTTTGTAGAAAAAGGTTTCTGAATCTATAGTTTCGAAGTTGTCGAACATCCCCTAATTATATATTGAACTAACTCGTAGAGAAACGTCGAGTAGTAGACAATTTAAGCTTAAAGGAGATCAACAGAAATGGCTTGAGGATGATGGGGTGGATGTTGATGGATGGATCAACGGGCATAAATGCCACAACGATGAACACTTATTAATTGATCTCAGGGGAAGTGCATGCAGTCCAATCCCAACAGGGAGCATCAACCAACGCCGGGATTCGCTTTCGCCATCCATAAGAGGACCACCCTATTTTATATATACATTCAACATCATCATTTATTCTTCATGGCGAATTCAATTCAAAACCCCGCCTACCTAGCTATATACATAATACATCTATGCTATATATTCAGCATGAATAAACGATAACTTCGGTAACTTCTTCAGTTAATTAATTTCAGTTGCCTCAACATTTCATTTAATTTAATTCGAAAATCTTAATATATAGCCTGCTGCCATGAATGCACGAGACACGCGTATCGTTGTGATTTCTCTCCTGTTACTGGCCTGTGCAGATTTAAAAATAAATAAATATTAACATTAATATTATTGAATGCATATTTATATTTATTAACATGTATTTATATACGTTGCAGACCTTTTCACATTTCAGCAGAAAGGAAGCCCCCCGACGTTTGTTTCCGGTAAACCAACTTTCCGTTTATCCTCATGAAAAGATTGCTTATTCGATAATTAGCACGTTGAAGCATAGTCGCCGGTCGATGTTTCATGATGAGGATTGAATACATATACGAAACGCAAGAGAGCGATATATAAGAGTGTGTGTGTGTGTGTGTTTTATTAAACTAGTAGTATTAATTAATAACTTGCAAAGGCCGCTTTTGTGCTCAACCAAAGAAACATATATAGATGAGAGCTTACAAGTAATGACCCAGAGACGAAAGTGGACGCTACAAAGTAATGAAATATAACTATCCTCACTCGACAAACCCTAACGATGTCCTTCAACGACATTAAACAACGTAACACAACCGTTATTTTCTGAACCGAAAATTATAAAGTCGTAAGAGGCTAAGATAAGAGACTGATGAGAGCAAACATGAAACCATATTCTCCACTCTCTCAAGGGTAAGGAACGACACCGGTGCCGCCACCAGCTCCGCCTCCAACCCCACCGCCCACACCACCACCAGCACCTCCTAAACCCCCAGCTCCGGCTCCACCGAGTCCGCCCAGTCCGCCAAATCCTCCCAAGCCTGAGCCCCCGCCGAGACCACCGCCAAAACCACCACCAACTCCGGCTCCGGCTCCTCCAAAAGGCAGCCCGTTGCTGCCTAGTCCCGAATATCCACCAACGCCGCCGTAGGTGAGGAAGTTCTTCTGGTCCTTGAGGCCAGAGTCGCTGGGCACTGTTCTGGCACTAGCGGCCACAGCCAGAGCAAGAACCAACAAGATACACCACCTAGCCATCTCTCTGCTTCTCTTTCTGTCACTCACACAGTACGTAGCCCTAGCTCAGTGACAGTGATGAACAAAGAGCGTGAGGCCCTGCTGTTTTATAAGGGGAAAATTTAAAGGATGGTGAGGAGGCAGTTGGGCATATTCAATGAATATTTAATGTTTCACCCCACAGAAGTGGCAACAGTAAAAACCATACCAACACGCTAACCTAACAATTCACAGGAAGTTAATGGGCACTGGGTTAAGGATTAATGAATTAATCAAACCTTCCTGGTTCCATTTTGAAATGGTAACTGACAGGTGCATTGTGACCATTGGGGTCAATCTCTCTCTCTTTCTCTTTCTCGGTTAACAACAATGCGCGTGCTTGCTAGGCTGTAAATTAGCCGTAGCCGTAGACTGGATCCGTTTCAGAAACTTTTGGGCCAGAAAACAATTTTTCATACATGAGGGTTCACTTTGTTACCCACGTTACTTATAAAGCCCAGGCCCATACTGATGAAAATAGAAGCAAACAGTGTGAGCAAGGGGAAGCAACAAAAATGCACAAAATGCACGAGCGGGCTGAGTCTAATAAAAGAGGTTAGTCTCATACAACGTGATAAATCAAGATTTGAATTATTATTAGAAGATATGCTTACATTTAGTGCACAACAAAGTTTTAAACACGATTACATCTAACAATATAATATCTATGCCTAGCAAGAGAAAAAAGGACACAATGCACGACCAGGGAAAAAAAACTCTAAATTAATTATGTATTCTAACAATATCAACGGGAACTGGATCTGATAAAAAAAGGTTAGTCTCTCAAAACATAGTAAACCAAAATTCGAATTGTTGCAAAAGTTTCTTACATTTAGTGCTGAGCAATACCTTAAACAAAAAATTGCTTCCAATAAAAGAACTTGCGCCCAGCTAAAAAAAAATTATATATTCTAACAAGCGTAAGATGATAATTTTTTATTGTTTTCTTTGTTTATGGCGTTAGGTTATGCGCCACCTTCGATTCACACGCAGTTAACATGGTAAACTCTTATTTGTTACTATTGTCAAGATGTGTCAATGATTAAAAAGAAAAAGTCAGATCGGCGGCCGGAAGGTAAATTATAAGAACGTCGTGTATATCATGCAATAATGGAGGAGGCATGCGTAATGGGATTGAAAAAGTAAGGCATGCAACATATTTAGGAGAGAAGGGGACAAAATAAAACTAGTTTGGAAGGAGAGATGATAATTGGAAGAGGCGATGATGATTGAGATTTGAGACGCGTGTGCGTGGTGGCAAGCAAAACCACGGATAAGGCAAACGAGGCTGTGAGCTGGGGAATGAGTTTTGGAGGTGAACTGGATGGATAAGGGGAAAGAAGGGGCAAGGTCAATGAGCAATCCCCTTACTCTCCAATGACGAGGAAGAGCAATAGCTGGGTTGGTCGGTCTGTGAATGGAAAGGCATGACTCAAAAGTATCTAAATTCGGGAAAATGAAAAGAAAAGGAAAAGCAAATAGGAGCATCTAAATTGAATATGGGAGGGCTAGGCGTTCCTCATCATCTTTATTCTATTTATATATTCATTCACGGATGGGAGGAAGGGAATAAAGAAGACCAAGAGTGGGTGTGCGTTTGCCACGTAAGGCAATGCTGCCCGAAAAGAGCTTTGACTAGGAGGAGTGGCGGCCTAGCGGTGGGCTCGGTGGGGTGAGGAGAGGAAGTGCTCCTCACATTGATTAAATTGAAAGTAGAAGAACCTTTTAAGAAATGCCTAACTATAGCACGAACACTTATTAAAATAGTTTCAGTAATATAATTCTTACTAGAAAAGAGACGGTGATTCTTTGCTTCTTATAATTTTCAACAAGTTATGCAAAATCCAATTTTTCAAGAATCCTCTAGATTTGAATGCAGCACTTGATGAGTTAACCAATAAACAATGTCTTTCCCAAAGACATCTATGCACATATCATTTGGGAGAACTTTCTTCCACACTGAGGATGCTAAAGGACAAGCCTTAAAGACATGATTAAGATTCTCTATATCTGCACAGCAGAGAGTACATCTTTGATTTGATGTTATACCACTTCTACATCTTTTCAGCATTAGTGAGCAATTTCCTTTTGAGCACTAAGCATTCATCCTTCCTTAACCAAGGTTGGGGCTTCAATCATCACTTGGGTATGAAAAGCGTTAAACCCCTTGGCCAGCTATCTCAGACTTCAACGTGCCTACAGTTAGTGAATCTAGATTAGTTTGGACTGTTGATGTACCTGAAAGATGATATGTCTGGAATACCAGATGATGTCACTCAAAAAAAAACTAAATTAGAAAGATGAAAAATATTAGTTAAATTAATCAAGTATAATAAATATATGTTAATTTTTTTAAACTATTTTTTTTAATTATATGTATTGAAATTTGACAAGTCCTTTCAAATATTTTAAAGAAAACATTATAAATTTTATAAACAAAACAAATTGAAGTCTTGTACTCAGAATTAAATTCAATCTCGAACTAGTTTTTATATTAACTATTGGAAGTAGAATGAGACGAGGTTCTGTGTACTTATTAACAACCCTTTCTCTTTAAAATTAAAAGACATTTTTGAGTATCATGGCAAAAAATATATGTATTTAAATTTTTTTAAAAAAATCCAGACACCATGTTAGTAGGGATAAATATAAAAGACTAAAGTATATTTTTAGTCCTTTAACTTTACATAAGGTTTCATTTTGATTCTTTAACTTCAAAAAGTAAACTTTTAGTCCTATAATCCTATAACTGTTAACAAAAAATGATGATGTTATGTTCTTAAATGTTTACAAAACATTATTAAATGTTATAATATTAAGTTTACTTTTCAAAATAACTATAGTTGTTATAAAAAAAATCATCATTTAAGACTAATAATTTTAGGATTAAAGAATTAAAAATATACTTTTTAAAGTTAAGGGATCAAACTGAAACCTTATATCAAGTTAAAGGACTAAATGTATACTTTAACCAATAAAAAAAAGTCTAATTTTAGAGACCATTAACTATTAGCTAATTTATTTAAAATATGAGATAATTAAAAATATCTTGTACTACTTCCGGTCCTAATTATAAAATCTAGTCGACTAATTTGAGGAGATTAAGAAACGAAGTTAAGTTAGTTATTTGTAATAAATATGTATTGTCTTTTATAAAATATCCTTACTAGTCAAATGTATTGGCTAGAACTACTATTATTAAAAGGATTACCTTGGAAAAAATACATAAATATGAGAGACAAATTAAATTGGGATCTTATATTTAAGATCAAAATAAAAAAAAAATCTTATAGTAAGAATGGGAGGTAGTAATTTTGAACATGGATGAGTATTATATTAATATTTCATCCATATCATTACCAGGCCAGGTCATCCTTTTGCTCCACGCGCTTTCCCGGCAGAATGTAATCCTTTGCTTTCTTTTAATAGCTGTTCAATTGTTTAATTAATCTTGTTCATCGTGGATGTTAGCTGGTGGAAGTACCCCAGATAAAGATTAGGTGACTAACTATTTTCCCCGTTGGCAAAAAAAAAAAAAACGATTAATGGGAACATGGCAATTGCTCTTATCCCTTCGGCCACCCCATCTTCTATGCTGTTCTTCCATTACAATATGTGCTTCCCTAGTTTGTAGATACCAATGCAAAATATTATACCAAAAATGATAAGAAAACATTTATTGAATTTCAAAATGATAAATAAATTATGCTTACTATTTTTATAAAAGCATTGATTATTCTCATAAAAGTTTTTATCCCACGATATGTAGGAGTAATTATGGCGCCAATCATAAAATACAACCAACATTTTAATTGGCCTTTTTTTTAAATTAAGAAAAAGCTCTTATACGATATTAATTCCGTAACTAAAAATATACTCCGTGTTTGTTTGAATTGATGATAAAAAAGAAACTTATTTTTAATTTGATTTTAAAAAATGAGATTAGGTAAAAGTTAGATCAAGTAGTGTAATTTATATTTATATTGACCTTTATAAAAGTTAGTTTGTAAAATAAAAAAATTATTTACATTATGATTAAATAAGTAAATTTAATTTGTAGAATGACTAGAATGGATATGACTTTTATTTAATAATAAAAAAATTAAAAATATAAATTTACAAAATATAATAATTTTAAATTATTATAATAGGAAGAAGTTATAATTAACGATAAAATATATTTAAATTAGAAATCATAATAATATATAAATTTTTGAATCAAATAATATTAAATAATTAATTAGATGATATGTTCTACATAATTTAGATAAATATAAAATAAAAAGTAATATTAAAAATTAAAAATATTATAAAAATGGTTAAAAATTATTTTCAATTAAGAGAATGTCAAAAATAGATAATTAAAAACTGATTAGAAAGCACAAAAAATATAGAGAGAAATGCATAAGAACAATATAAACATAAAGACAAACATATTTTTAAACTCCAAAAAGTGATTTTTACATAAATTATAAGTAAATTTTAAGTGTTTTTACAATACTATTTAAAAAAACATTTTTTAAACTTCCACCACGTCAAGATAACACTATATGATTGAGTTATATCTTTTTTTTTGTCCCACCCTTATCAAGAAATAGAATTGACTAATCCTAAAACAAGTGGTTGAATTCAACGACACTATTATTAAACAACTTGGAGTTAGGCTTTCTTTTCTTTTCAACCCATAAGTCAGACAAATAACTTTCAAATTTACAAACTTACTTGCTATCTTTGTGAAATATTTTCTACTCCCTCAAGCGCCTTATCAAACAGACACTATATAACATATAACCAATGTAACCGGGTTATTTACTCAATACCGACGAAAAGTTGACGCGTGCAGGAGAAGATCCGGTAAGCATGTGCTCCGACACGTGTTGAATTCCCAGCTGTCCGATGGAGTGAAGTCCCACGTCTCTAGAGACGCGTTCCAGTTGGCCTGAAGCGAGGATGCCCTCTTCATATAGGAATCCTCCATGGAATATGTACAGAAATCCTTTCCGACT